TGGCGGACCTAGGACATTCGGGGCCCGACGCAAAATTTTTTTTTGGGGTCCTGTCATGCTTTTTTTAGGTATTTTTCTTGTGGTGTTGGGGTGTGAGGTGAGTGTGCGGAAGTTATTTAAATTTTTGAAGTTTTTAACAACCAAATATAGAAACAAATTTAATCCAAAAACCAAAAACAAGTTTATCAAGAACATATGAGACAGAAATCAAGTTAAACGAAAAAAGAAATTGTAAAAATTCAAGAACTTTTAATCTAAACAAAAAGAAATGCAACATAGTAGTACCGCACTGCACTGATACTGATACTTGAATTAAAAAACACACATACTTCTGGGCATGACAAAGCACCATCTTTCATACTGCGGGACTGTGCCCCATGTCTTACATCTCCACTGTACCACATATTTAATTTAGCAATCAAGACACACACTTTCCCCGATAACTGGAAGAAAACTAAAATATGTCCAGTATTTAAGGGCGGGGATATTAACAATATCTCTAATTACAGACCAATCTCCATTTTGTCCAACTTCTCGAAGGCCTTTGAGGTCTGTGTATATGACAATCTCTTCCACCAAGTTAAAAACTTAATTACCACTATCCAGCATCCACATCCACAACTTAGAGGATTGTAACGAGCTGCAGAAAGATATTGACACACTTTCAGGTTGGTGTCAAAATAACAAATTATATCTAAACATCAATAAGTGTAAATCAATGACCATCTCAAATATCAATCATGAGTTGAATTTCAATTACCAACTCCAATCTAGTTCTCTTTTGAAAGTTGACTCAATCCGGGATCTGGGGGTGGTGATCGACAAAAAGCTCACATTCAATGGCGATATTGATCAAATTGTGCATTCATCATTGAAAACCCTGGGGTTTATTATTAGATCAACAAGAGAGTTTAAGAACATCGACAGTCTCATCACGTTGTACAACTCTTTGGTCAAGTCTAAATTGCAGTATGCTTCTCTGGTGTGGTTTCCTTACCATCAAGTACATGTGAACAGGCTCGAATATGTTCAACGGCGATTCCTAAAGTATCTAAGTTTCAAAAAGGATGGAATTTACCCTCCAAGAGGATTTGACCACCAGTTGCTACTCAACAAGTTCAACTTCCTCTCACTTCAACAGAGTACAATTTTAGCAAGTCAACTCTTTCTTTTTAAATTATGTAACAACCTGGTGGACTCTCCAGATCTTCTAAACAGTCTTAATTTTTCTTTACCAGTAGTCAACACACGTTCCCACCGCAAATTCTATTTGGAAAATTGCCCACATATCTTGCCAGAAATGAGCCAATCTATCGAGCCTGCTCATACTTCAATCACCTGCAGAACAGTATCGATGTAGACTTATTTGTAGGTTCAGTAAACTCTTTTAAAAAAAATATCTTGCCAGTGGTTCGCAATCTGTGATAATGTATTTGCTGTGATAATTGTCCTGGCGGAAGTATGGGAGGGTAACTATTTCTATCTCTATTTTTATTTCCTATTTTAACTGAGTAAACAATGCTAGTTTTTCTCATTATTTTTATTTTTGTCTTTATTTTTATTTTTATTTATACTTATTTTTATCTATATTTTTATTTTTATTTTTATTTTTATTGTTGTTTTTAGTTTCATAGTTGTTTTTATTTTTGTTTTAGGCTTCTTATTAGTTTTCTGTATCTTATGTGTGATATAATCTTAGCTTTTAAATTTTCATATTTTTGTTCGCTCTTAAGTGCACTAATTGTCTCATTATTGGGAGTATGTATTCCTGTTAGACAATAAAGAATTGAATTTGAATTTGAATTTGAATTACTGTCCGTACTCCACCGACAAGTGCCATAAATTATCTGAGTCTGGAAGACAATAGGCAATTTTTTGCGAGGATAATCAAGCATAATCTTTTGCTGGATTATATGATATGTCATTTGTGTCATACTCCCCCACCATCAAATTCTGGGATACTCTGAGATCAAGAACACTTAATTGCTTCTGTGAGAACAAACCAAAAATCACCTTTTCTAAATTTAAAATCGACTAAAAAACTAACTCACTAGCACAGCCTGAATCGCAAAAATTCCATCGAGGTCTGCGGGTGACGTCACTCGCAGGCCCAGAATTTGATGTAGAGGGAGTTAGGGGAGTATAATACAATCGACATCACATAACCCAGCATAATCAGATTATGCTTGATTATTAAAAAGTCAACGCGTCCGCGGTTGCCGCATCGCGTCGAGTGCATCAGGGCTGGGATCAAGACATCAACTAGAATTCTACTTTCATGACGTCAGGTTGCCTAGCAACTGTCATCTTCGCCTGTACTGTACGCGATAAATTTGTCGCGAATGACGTCATGAAAGTGGAATTCTACTTGTCATGATTCCAGCCCTGGATTCCCTACAGGGTCTTTATTGTCGAAACAAGAGATAAGCGTTCTGTCTTAGTTGCTCATATTTCTATTTCCATAACACTGACAAAGACAGAGCAATCGTTCTTTCTCGTGAGAACGCTGTTTCTCGATTTCAAGAATAGGCATTCTAGTATACAATGTTGCCGTCTCTTTCAAAATTTAATTTTAGATTTTTTTTATATCTACGAGTTATTTTTTTTATTTGTTTTTATCGGTCCCTTTAGAATTTGGTTGTGTGGGGGGGGGGGGGGGGGGCGACGCAGAGTGCGTCGTTTGCTTCATGCTAGATCCGCCACTGCTTCTGTCACATTGTACAACGAAGTATTTGTCAGTTAATAATTGTGCATGTGTCAATCCATGACCAACTTGATGGATATTTTTCCTGAAAGTCTCTTGTCACTCTCATTGGTGCATTGTGCATGTGTCATTCCATGACCAACTTGATGGTATATTTTTCCAGAAAGTATTAGCACTCTCATTGATGAGAAAAGGAGAGCCGATAACGGACTGTTAACTCCACAAATAATAAAGATTTAAAGAATTCTTTTCAATCAATTTTTGTTCATTCCCGACTCTTGAAGTTAACTGTCAATGCAAGGGGTAAACCACCATCCCAGAATTGATGCAAACAATTCCTCAAAGGGGAATTTTTTACGCATAATTCCTCATAATTTCTGCAAATTCCTCCAAATACTCCATCACAAATTCCTCCAAATACCCTACCACGAAGTTCTCCAAATACCCCACAAATTCCTCTAGAAAAAAAGAAAGTTTTGAAACTTTTTGGGTGTAAAGAGGAAAGTTAGAAGCTCATTTTCCCAGAATTTCAAATATCTCCAGTGAAAAATTACATGAGGAATCTTGGAATTCAATCTACAAAAACTGAATTAGTTGAAAACACAGTCTCACACATTTCAAAGTTTTCCTGGAAAACTAGTGAAGGGAAAATTTTGAAACTTTTTACATGTAAAGAGGAAGGTGAGAACATCATTTTCCCAAAATTTCAATTTTTTTCAGGGGAAAACAGCAACATAAGGAATATTGGAAATCAACCTACAAAAATTGAATTAGTTGAAAATACAGTCTCACACATTTCAAAGTTTTCCTGGAAAACTAGTAAAGGCAAAGATTTTGAAACTTTTTGCATACAAAGAGGAAGGTGAGAACATCATTTTCCAAAATTTCAAATTTTTCCAGTGGAAAACAGCAACATGAGGAATATTGTAAATCAACCTACAATAATTAAAATAATTGGAAATACAGTCTCACGTATTTCAAAGTTTTCCTGGAAAACTAGTGGAGGGAAAATTTTGAACCTTTTTGCATATAAAGAGGAAGGTGTGAGAATCATTTTCCCAAAATTTCAAATTTTTCCAGTGGAAAACAGCAACATGAAAAATCTTGGAAATCAACCTACAAAAACTGAATTAGTTGAAAATACAGTCTCACACATTTCAAAGTTTTCCTGGAAAACTAGTGAAGGGAGAAATTTGAAACTTTTTGCATTTAAATAGAAAGGTTAGAAGCTCATTTTCTCAAAATTTTAAATTTTTTCAGTTGAAAATAACATCATGAAAAATCTTGGAAATCAGCCTACAAAAACTGTATTCATTATTTTTTGAATTTTTTAAATTTGACAAATTCCTCATAAATTCCTCACAAATTTTCCTAAATTCCCCATAAATTCCTCCAAATTCCCTATATATTCTCCAAATTCTCATAAATTCGGACGAGTTCCTTCAAATTCCCCACAAATTCGTCTAAATTTCCCACAAATTCTTCTAAATTCCCCACATTTTTGGCAAATAATTCCTAGGTGGTTTGCTCCTTGTGTCAAAGTTAACTTCTGTCAAATTATTCAATGAAGTACTTATTTGTCAAATAATTTTCAATGTGTCAATCCATGGCCAACTTGATGGCATATTTTTCCTGAAAGTCTCTTGTCACTCTCATTGATTAGAAAAGGAAAGCCGACGACGAACTATCAATTCCACAAATAATAAAGTTTTATTTTCAATCAATTTTTGTCTATTCCCGGCTCTTGAAGTTAACTGTCAAACTCTTAATGGTCACATCTTCCAATGTCGTTTATTGAAAAATTACTATAATATACATTTTGTTTGTACCTATTGCAAAATGATAAATTTACCCCAAATTTTTTTAATGTGATTTTACTAACTATAAGTCCAAATGAGCTGAAATTTTCAGGAATTGTAGTCTTCTAGTAGGATAAGAATCGCTGAAAACTTCAGCTTTCAAAGTGTTGAAAATACAAATCATAAGAAACATTTTGTGATTAAATGATTATTTGAAATTCCTCAAATTCTATACACTAGATTATTCTGAAATAAACAGCTCTTCCTCACCTACAACTTCTTCAACCTGTAAAATTAACACTAAAGAGTCACCACTCAACATCTTTCCTTTTGACTATCTGCGGATCTTCTATCTAGGAGAAACTTTTCAATGTGCTCTGTTTAATTAACACTCCCTCTTAACGAAATGAAAACACCAATAAGAAACAATGATAAAATATATAATACTTAACAGTTTTTAGGTGAATGTCTTCTAGCACTCAAGTAGCAACAACAAAATGTCTTCAAAAAAGCACCTAGACCTGGACCCATTGCCTGAAAAACCACGCATAAGCATCTTATGCCTGGACATCACAAATTTCAGCCAAACAACCCAATTCACTCTATGTAGTATAGCAGTATTTGTCTTCTATTTACTCTACGGCTACATGCAAGAACTTATATTCACTATAAAAGATTTCAAACCTTACGGCTGGTATTTGACTTTAGTGCAGTTTGGTTACTATACAATTTTCGGTTTGATTGAAACCAACATCAGAGGAATACATAAAAGAAAGTAAATACATTATGATGTCTAATAATATATTCATAATATAACAAGGACAATTATTTTGTAGGATCCCAATAAAAACCTATTTTCTTTTGGCTCTGTTGACTTTAGGCACTATGGGCCTATCAAACTCCTCTTTAGGCTACCTGAATTATCCTACACAAGTGATTTTCAAATGCTGCAAACTAATTCCTGTTTTGATTGGAGGGATTTTGATACAAGGAAAACGGTATGGGCCTTTGGATTTTTTATCAGCACTGTTAATGTGTGTAGGACTAACATTGTTTACTTTGGGTGAATTTTCACTTTTTTTTTTTAAAACAATAATGCTAGAAATTATTTTTAGCTGATTCGCAAGTTCAACCAAATTTTAATACTAGAGGTATTTTAATGATTTCTATGGCATTGCTTTGTGATGCCATCATAGGAAATGTGCAAGAGAAAAACATGAAAAACTATGGAGCGTCAAACGCAGAAGTGGTGCTTTATTCATACGCTTTAGGATTTTTGTATATTTTTACAGTTATGTTGCTTACGGGAGATTTCTTGGCCGGAGTTGAGTTTTTTGGACAAGTAAGCTCGATTTACAAACAGCAACATTAATGATTGGTGTTTATGTTTTACAGCAACCTTATGTAACGTATGGGTATGCTTTTATTTTTTCTGTTACTGGATATTTGGGGATTCAAGTGGTACTTACCTTGGTTAGAACGACTGGAGCTTTTGCTGCTGTTACAGTCACAACGATGCGTAAGGCTGTGACTATAGTGATTTCTTTTGTATTTTTTAGTAAACCTTTTACAATACAGTAAGTTGAGGATTTTGGTTTTAGATTTACATTAATTATAATGGTTTTTTTTTAGGTATTTATGGTCAGGAGTTATAGTAATAATAGGCATTTATTTGAATTTGTACAGTAAAAAACATCCTATTGGAATCAAAGACTTGGAAGAGTGCTGTGATAGAATGTTAAGGAAATTGAGGACAAAGTTTATAGCTCAACAGTATAATAGTGGTCAATATTTGGCAAATGTTTAAAGTTTTGTTAATTTTAGTCACAAATAAATTCGTCTTAGTCAGATTTTAAGAAAATTCAGCTCAGATGTGAAGTTTCTGTTCCTAAAAATATTTTGTAGTTCAGGAATTTGAAAATAGTTTAATAATATTCGAAATTATTTCCTAGATCTGATCATTTTTGAATTTAGTAGAAAATTTTTAGTGTGCGATTGTTGAGGGGATAGTCACTGTATGGAAATCTTCTGTCCTGTGTGGGATGAGGATCTGTGGTAGTGTATATGTTTTACGTAAACGCCATAAAAGCCACAAATATGAAATTTTCTGGAATCCTTTATAAAGCATTAGACCAAGGGGCAAACCACCTAGGAATTCTTTGCCAAAAATGTGGGGAATTTAGAGGAATTTGTCGAGAATTTGTAGGGACTCATCCGAATTTATGAGAATTTGGGAAATTTATAAGGAATTTGGAGGAATTTATGGGGAATTTGTCAGAAATTTATGAGAAATTTGAAGGAAATTGACAAATTTAAAAAATTCAAAAGAATAATGAATACAGTTTTTGTAGGTTGATTTCCAAGATTTCTCATGTTGTAATTTTCCATTGGAAAAATTTAAAATTTTGGAAAAATGAGCCTTCACCCTTTCTACTCTTCACGTGCAAAAAGTTTCAAATTTTTGCCTTCACTGGTTTTCTAGGAAAACTTTGAAATGTGTGAGACTGTTGTTTCAATAAATTCAGTTATTGTAGGTTGATTTCCAATATTTCTCATGTTGTAATTTTCCACTGGAAAAATCTGAAACTTTGGGAAAATGAGTTTCTCACCTTCTTCTTTACATGCAAAAAATTTCAAAATTTTCCCTTCATTAGTTTTCCAGGAAATTTTTAAAATGTGGGAAACTATTTTCAACTAATTCAGTTTGTGTAGGTCGATTTCCAAGATTTTTCATGTTGTTGTTTTCACTGGAAAATTTTAAAATTTTGGGAAAATGAGCTTCTCACCTTCCTCTTTACATGCAGAAAGTTTCAAAATTTTCCCTTCTTTAGTTTTCCAAAAAAACTTTGAAATGTGTGAGATTGTATTTTCAATTAATTCAGTCATTGTAGGTTGATTACCAAGATTTTTCATGTTGCGGTTTTCCACTGGAAAATTTTGAAATTTTGGAAAAATGAGCTTCTCACCTTCCTTTTTACATGCAAAAAGTTTCAAAATTTTCCCTTCACTAGTTTTCCAGGAAAACTTTGAAATGTGGGAGACTATTTCCAACTAATTCAGTTTTTGTAGGTTGACTTCCAAGATTTTTCATGTTGCCGTTTTCTACTGGAAAAATTTGAAATTTTGGGGAAATGAGCGTCTCACCTTCCTCTTTACATGCAAAAAGTTTCAAAATTTCCCCCTCACTAGTTTTCCAGGAAAACTCTGAAATATGTGACACTGTATTTTCAATTAATTCAGTTATTGTAGATTGATTTCCAATATTCCTCATGTTGTTATTTTCCACTGAAAAAATTTGAAATTTTGGAAAAATGAGCTTCTCACCTTTCTCTTTACATGCAAAAAGTTTCAAAATTTTCTCTTCACTAATTTTCCAGAAAAACTTAGAAATGTGTGAGACTGTATTTTCAACTAATTTAGTTTTTGTAGGTTGACTTCGAAGATTTTTCATGTTGATGTTTTCTACTGGAAAAATTTGAAATTTTGGGGAAATGAGCGTCTCATCTTCCTCTTGCATGCAAAAAATTTCAAAATTTTCCCTTCTCTAGTTTTCCAGGAAAACTCTGAAATACGTGAGACTGTATTTCCAATTATTTCAGTTATTGTAGGTTGATTTCCAATATTCCTCATGTTGTTATTTTCCACTAAAAAAATTTGAAATTTTGGGAAAATGAGCTTCTTACCTTCCTTTTTACATACAACAATTTTCCCTTCACTAGTTTTCCAGGACTATATTTTCAACTAATTGAGTTTGTGTAGGTTGATTTCCAAGATTTTTCATGTTGCTGTTTTCCACTGGGAAACTTAAATTTTGGGAAAATGATTTTCTTACCTTCCTCTTTATATGCAGAAAGTTTCAAAATCTCCCCTTTTTTTAGAGGAATTTGTGGGGTATTTAAAGAAGTTCATGGTTGGGTATTTGGAGGAATTTGTGATGGGGTAGGTATCTGGAGAAATTTGCTGGAATTTTGAGGAATTATGCGAAAGAAATTTGAGGATCCTTTCGAGGAATTGTTTGCACCAATTCTGGGATGGTGGTTTCCCTTTGGGATATACCAAAAATTCAAGGCAATTGAACAAAGAACACAAAAGTTCCAAAGTGATTTATATAGATATATAATTTTTGAAGGAATGAAATATGTCAATCTTCCATAAATTAACTGATATTTCAAAAACTATAAAAGCAACAAATATGAAATTTTCTGGAATCCTTTATAAGGCACTAGAGCCGGTTATACTAAAAATTCAATGCAATTGAACCAAGGACACAAAAGATACATTCTTTTAGAATTTGTTTCCATTGTCCAGACTTGCAAAAGATGATTGTAGGTACCTCTATACTCTTCAACAAGTGAGAAAAAAAAAATAAAAATCCCAGATAAAGTGTAAATCAATATGTATTTTATTTCATAATAATAATTAAACAACACTAAAAAACAGCACTATAATTTTTTCTGCTGTAAATCCACAACTTAATGTTGGGCTGCAGGTGCCTGTTCTTCTTTGTAGCCTGGCTGTTCTTCCGGATTGTGAGGCCAGAAAGTTGGCCTGTTAATAGGGTCCAGAGCGTCTTCTGGATGAGCGTCCCTATAATCTTCCAAAGTCATTTGATCGTAAGGAAGCAGAGATGCAATATGAGCTATCTGCTTTTTGTATCTAGAATAAAGTTAATTAGAGCGCAAAGTCTAATTATTTTTCAAAAAACCTACTCTGCAATATTAGCATTAGATTCTGCTTTGAATTTTTCGATTTCGGCTTTAATTTCCTTTTCCTGGCTGTCGATTTGAGGGCTGACAGTGTCCGGTGGGAAAGGAATGCTCAAGGCAGAGTATTTCTTTTGGAACTCATCTACCATGCCAGCGATTGGCACTTTTTGTTTGTAAAAGTCCCAATTGATCGCTGGAGGTTTCTCGGGTTGAGAAGTGACTCTAAAAAAAATTCAATTGAGCCAAATTTTGATTTTGAGTTACATAAACCCTACCTGCGAAGGTATCCATCGGATTTTGCTTTGAACGCCAAGAAGTTGGATCGCTGGTGCTCGGGCACTCTTTCGGCGATAGCGGACCAGTTGATGGCACTTTGAGCGATCCTTTTTGAGGCCATACTCTATTATTTTATAGTGATTTTTATTTGGAAAACGGAGCCCCAAAAAATTGCTAGACTGGTTATGCAATTTTTGACAGTTGACCTGACGGACGTTTATTATTTGTCAGATTGTCACTCAGTGTTGCCAATGTGGAGAAGTCGGATTACCAATTTATTTGCTCCAACTCTGTTCGGTTCGTTGCACTGCTCTGAGCTACTTTCGGGTGTCACCTCTCGAGCGCTCCTGCAGGTGTGAAGTGTTCTAGGAGCTTCGCACTTTGCACCCGAAAGCGGCACTGATGTTTTGAACGCATAAACCACACGTCAAACTTCGGGAAGGTTATCCATGCGTTTGATATTTTGATCTGAGTCCTCTGAGTATGAATTTATTTACCGTTCGTTTATTCAAAAAGTGTACTTGATGCAGGCTCATTCGAGTTTGTTTATTAAAATTTCTGGCACTCTGATACAACGTTTAACTGCTCTGTTCGCTCACTGGTCACGTGATTACGGCTCCGCCAACACGCTCTGCTCTTTGAGCAAAATACCGAACGCAAAGTATGCTCGGTTATTCATAATAGTTGTATTCCTCTCACACCTAAGCGCTCTAGAATAGCTCCGGGGCATTACGCGCTTATTCCTTTCGAAAAGTGTTTGTTACACTTGAAGTGCGCAAGTTCGAATCAAACCATTCAAATGCACGAAAGCCAGCGCATCTGTTCCTTTCAAATCGAATCTGGGTGGATTTACACTGGAGCGAGTAGCTCTAGTGTTCTAAACTCTTAAAAGAAAAACAATTATTGGTTGTTCTCACAAGAGGTGGGTTCGGCTTGTTCACTCCAAGTGACTCCATTCGCACTCCAGCCGTTTGGGTTATGTTCGGATATTGCTTTCTAACGTATTAGGGGTTATAATATTGCGAACCAGTACAACAGTCTGTTGACACTCGTTAAAAAATGTCTGTTCGAGCTGCTCTAGAGCTACACTTAAAAAAATTGAGCCAGCAACACCGCAACAACTGTCAGAATATTTTTGTCATAATAATTCAAAATGGCGTCTTTCTATGTATTGTTGTGATATTTTATTTATAATTTATTTATTTGATAAGTTTCACGAGCCAAAAATAAATGTTGTTTTCAGCCCTTATAACAGAAACCTCCCCCATTTACTGGAGGCAACATGACAGAACAAAATAGTCGCTCGAACACGCTAGGGGAGCAACTGATCGAACCTACAAACGCCCAAAAATCCAAAAATATACTAAAAAACGGCTTTAAATTGAATTTGAGAAAGAAAAACGGCTACAAAAGTGTTTTGTCCAAAAGCACAGAAGATCTTTCAAATGAAAATCTAATATTTAAATCCCCAGTTAATGGAAATGAAGGCAAAGGAAGCATTACAAGTGCAAGCCCCAAAGAAACCCCTTTGGGGTCACCCACTGGGGATATTTGGTTCAATACTTGGCCAGAAAGATGCGACAAGGTTGGTTAAATCATAACTCAAATTTCCTACAAATAATCATAATAATTTTAAGGTAAAAAGTATAGACTCAAGCCCAGAACATCCAAAAACCCAGGAGAACAACAATCAAAATACTCAAAACGGTGTGGAACCCAACCAACTCAGCAACAAATTAACATTAAACGAAGCATTAAAAAACATATCATTAGCTTATAGTCCAGTCACTCGAAAACTACATCTAGTCGAAGACCTGAAAAATGAACAAGAATATCAGCATGACAAAAAGGATTGCGACAACAATTTGTATGTAAATTCTAGTCCCACAAAGAAATATGGTCACAGGAGGATACAAGACGGTTCATTTTCAAGCACAATTTCAACTATTAGCGAACCTTCAACTTCAGGAAGTTTAATTGGGAGTGAAGATAGATCTTTGTCTAATTTTGGAGATGAATGTCACGAAGATAAGACAAGACGAAAAAGTTTGACACAATTTTTTACCAGGTGAATTTCTCATCATATTCCGCGTGTTGTTAAATTCACCAAAATGGTGCACTGCCACGAATGCGGTGATTAAAATTCACTAATGTCAATGCCAAGCCACAGTTTGTCAAATCCTGGTTAATTAAACAACACTGCTTGTTCTACCATTCCACCACAATGTCTACACCAGCTGAATTTAGCCTCACGCGGATTATCCGTTCACAATCCGATATCCACAGGTACAGGTAAAATTTATTGGTGCCGGTACACTTCACAGACACACAAAATTTGCTTTTTTCTTAATTTTATCGGAAAGAGGGTACTTAACTAGTTTATTGAAAAAATAAAAAATGCGGATCATCCAGTATTTAAAAAAAAAAACATGATGTTATCGCTCCGTTTGCCGGATCTCAAAGAGAATATCCTTGAAAACGTAAATTCACCAAAAACCAGAAAGACCCTTTTTTTAAAAATAACACCTTGAATTTTAAATTATTTATGAGTTCTCCATTGCTCGCTCCGCTCGCCAAGTTTCAAAGAGAAGATCCTCAGAAACGTAAATCCACCAAAAATGTGGGAAACCCTTTTGTAAATATAACGCCTTGAAATTTAAATTATTTTTTTTTCTTGGATTGCTCCGCTCGCCAAATCTCAAAGAGATAATCCTCGGAAATGTATATACCCACCAAAAACTGGAAAACTCTTAAGGGCCCCATACACTACGATGAAATACGACGGTTTTCATTGCCACGATGAAACACGTCGTTCCAAAAACCGAAGTGTGTGGTAGAAAACTGTCGTGTTTTTCTACCACACACTTCGATTTTGGAATGACGTGGGGTAAACTTTCGTTTAGCAGAAATCAGCTTCATTTTTATTTTCCAGACTTTAGAATACCTGAAATCAGTTATGTGAAAAATTTTTGTTTGTTTTCATTTTCAACATTTTTTTGAACATACAAACACAAAAATTTTGCTGCGGAAATAAGCTGTTTTCAGTCTTTAGAATAGTTGAAATCAATTACGTGAAAAATTGATATTCCTTTGCATTGTAAACATTTTTCTGAATGTAAAAAAGGAAAAATTTTCTCACAGAAATACACAGTTTCTATTTTCGAAACTATTCAAAAAACGCCTCTTCCCGACCTTTGATGGAAATAAATGCGGAAAATGCACATTTTCCATCAGAAAATTATATTTAAAATTGACGATTTGGCCCACCTTTCCAAAAATCAACTACGAAAATTCCCTACTATCGGTCACTATCAGCGTGCTTTGTTATCAACCAGTACACTTTGACCAGTAATAAACGAACTGTAACGAAACTAAACAAAAATATGCGAACTAACCGAAACTAACCCATCCATGTAATGGGTGCTAGTCCTTGCATGTAAATATTGAATTTAGAAAAAAAAGCGTGTGCTTTGTTATTAACCAGTAGTCCAGTACACTTATAACCAGTATTAAATGAACTGCAACGAAACTAACCATAAATATGCAAACTAGCCCATACTAACCCGTCCACGTAATGCGTACTAGTCCTTGCATGTATTGACTTTAGAAAAAAAAAACAGCGCGCTTTGCGAGCTTTGTTATTAACCAGTAGTCCAGTACACTTATACCCAGTATTAAATAAACTATAATGAAACTAACCAAAAATATGCAAACTAGCTCAAACTAACCCGTCCACGTAATGCGTATTAGTCCTTACATGTATTGAATTTAGAAAAACAACAGCGCGGCTTTGTTATTAACCAGTAGTCCAGTACACTTATACCCAGTATTAAATGAACTGTAACGGAACTAACCAAAAAGTGTGTGGTAGAAAAACACGATGGTTTTTTTACCACACACTTCGGTTTTGCAACGACGTGTTTCATCATGGCGATGAAAACCGTCATGTTTCATTGTAGTGTGTGGGGCCCTTAAATCCTCCAAAAACGTGAAAACCCCTTTTTTAAATAAACACCTTAAAATTTAATTTTTTTTTTTTTTAGATTGCTCACTTATTTCACGAAAAAAATGTATAAAGAATATAGGTAGTTTAACGTGAACAAGTATCAACTCAACACAGAGTGGAAATGATTGATTTCTCCGAGGATTTCTCAAAAACTACTGGATAATCCGCATTTTTTTTTTTAAGACTCTATATAAGACCCTCTTTCTAATGCAATTTAAAATTTTGCAAAATTTGTGTGTCCGTAAAGTGTACCGGAGCCAAATTTATCACCTTTCAATGCTTTTTGATAGGGAAAGGTGATAAATTTACCTGTACCTGTGGATATCGGATTGTGAACAGGATATACAGGGTGTCCCAATAAAAAGTGACCTATTTTAAATGCTTATAACTTTTAAACCAGGTGTGCTAGCTAGCTGCGATTTGCGCCATTCGACTTTTCTTGGCCTAAAGTTTTTTTTCAGTTAGCTGCAAATTTTTTTCACACCTATACAGGGCGAGTAAAAAAAATGCCGTTTTTCAACATTGAAATTCTGCACTATTTATAATAGAACACGCTGTATGTTGCAACGCCAAAATTAAGAGTCGTGTCCAAGGTATTCATTTGCCAATAAACGTCGGCGTTTTTTGAACCTAAAAAAATGCATTTATTTTTGGGCCAGATTTCTATTTCAATTGTTTAGGGCTAAAACTTCAAGTTCCATGCCCGATGTTTATTGGTACATCAATACCTTGTACACGACTCTTAATTTTGGCGTTGCAACATATATGGTGTTTCAATAAAAAATAGTGGAGAATTTCGATGTTGAAAAACGGCATTTTTTTACTCGCCCTATATAGGTGTGAAAAAAATTTCCAACTAACTGAAAAAAAACTTTAGGCCAAGAGAAGTCGAATGGTGCAAATCGCAGGTAGCTAGCGCACCTGGTTTAGGAGTTATAAGCATTTACAATCGGTCACTTTCTATTGGGACACCCTGTATAAGAGAATACTTTTTTTAAAATTTTTATCTTTGTTCCAGAAATGTATTTTCATGGAAATCAAACAACAACCCTGAAAACTCTGGAAGCAGCGTTTGGAAAATATTCACAAAAACCCCCTCTCAAGGTGACAATTCGCCATTGCACACTGTCGCCAGCTCCTCAGCCCTAATTCAACTAAAACGGCCCTCCTCCCTGCCAGCCAAGACGTTTGAAGAAGAACAAAAGCACGCCCAAGAGTACAACGAAATTTTGGCCGCGGCCAAAAAAAAAGAAGCCAAAAGTACAGCAGCTAAAGAGAAGCAGAAAAAGTTGCAGCTGCAGCTTGAAGAACAACAGGCCAACGCCGCTAGGCATTTTTCTCAGTTGGTTCTGCCAAATTGGACTCGAATGGAGAAAAACAAAAAGACCCAAGAGCTTTGGTGGCAAGGTTTGCCTTCAAGTGTTAGAGGCAAAGTGTGGAGGTTGGCTATTGGAAATGAATTGAATATAACGCCGCAATTGTATGAGATTTGTCTGACAAGGGCGCAGAATAGATTGAATAGTCCTGAACCACCTCCTTGTGAATATGAAAATGATCAGGTAAGAATTTTATTATGGATTATGCAAGACTATATTTTTTTTTAATAATAATTAGGAAAGCAGCATGGATGTAATAGAGCTGGACATATCCAGAACATTTCCCAATTTAGGCATATTCCAACAAGGAGGCCCATATTCTGAGGTTTTACATTCCTTATTAGCAGCTTATGTGTGCTTTAGGTAAAAAATCAACTATAGTTTTATACAAAGAAACTCACAACACATAATTCTAGGCCAGATGTTGGTTACCTTCAAGGCATGTCTTATATAGCAGCCATTCTAATACTCAACATGGAAGCATGTGATGCTTTTATTTGTTTTGCTAATCTATTGAATCAACCACTCCATCTGTCAGCATTCACTCTAAACCAAACACAAATGAATGCATACTACAATGCTTATAATCAAGTGCTCAACAGTAATTTGCCCAAATTGTATGGACATTTTGAACGGGCCGGGCTCACGCCTGATTTGTACTTGCTGGATTGGATTTATACAATATTTGCCAAAGCAATGCCTTTAGATGTGGCTTGTAGGATTTGGGATATTTTTCTGAGGGATGGTTACGAGTTTATTTTTAGGACTGCTTTAGGTAAATACAATTTATGAATTTTGGAAAACTTATTTATTTAATTAATCACAGGTATTCTTCATCTTTATCAATCCGCTCTACTCAACATGGATTTTCTCCATGGTGCTCAATTTCTAACGAAATTGCCTGAAGACATGTCAGCTGATCAGTTATTCAAAAGTATACAGTCAGTTTGTACCAACGTGGGCAAAACTACATTTAGTCAAATAGCTGAAAGATGTGGGGCGCGACAATCAATGACTGATTTGTACAGATAGTTATAGGAGTTTTTTAAAATTAGATTTAAGTAAGTAGAAAATAATCAATTTTAAAGGCTCATTAGCCAATAAGAACAAATTTAGATATTAGCAGGCAATTATTTTGTCATGGGTCTGATATTTTAATGTAAATTTTTGTACAAAGTAGGCATGCAAGAACAATTTTGCATTATTTTATAAACAAATTCCTCATTTAAGTCAATTCTTTTGTATCAGAAATTAGTTTTGTCCGTCCCTGGAATCTCATAAAGAAATGTTTGAATTGAGTGAACTTTTAAATGTGCTATTTTTCAAATTATTTATTTGTCATTTGTGTTTTTTTTTTACTGTGAATAATTGTGATATTTATGTGAGAGATTCTATTGCTGGATTTATTATAATTATTATTATCGTATCAGCTTGTTAAGGATATATTTTTAATAAATTGCATATTTTATTTATTAAACTGATATTGTTTTATTTGTAGTGGAACTAACATCTTTGGAAATCATGAAAGAAATTGTTTATTCATTTATTATCTATTCAACATATCGACATTCACAAGTTTACAGGCAAGATTTTAGACTACCTAACCTAAAACAGCCCTTTTTGCACAATTCATATGTGACAGGTCTCACAAAATTTATTTACACTCGCGGACACTCATTGACAGAACTATACAACAAATATCAAGAATGGCAAATTGGTATATGCATCAAGGCCCGGGTACGTGTTGGATAGCAAGGTATACGAATCTGGAATGCTTCCAAACATTCTAGACTCTTAATACAATAGTTCAGGATATTGAATACAAAACATATATCATAGTCTGATCATTATCAAGTTCAATGCTATTGAAAAAAAGAATGATATACTTTTACTCAGAATAAGGATGTTGAAGTACCTATCACATTAAATGGCAGAAAATTTTGCCAGCCCAAAAAAAAACAAGATTCCTAGAAAACAAGAAATTAAATGCAGTGGAAGTTTTGAAAAGAGAAACATTAAACCAAAGATTATGACCACAGATTTACAAGATTAAAAAGAAAAACTGTTGTTATCTTGCACCAAAAAGATGTTTACTCATCTAGGTGCTAAATATCCAGAAATATTAGCTATATATATTATATAATATTAACTAGCTACAATTTATATATGAGAAACTATGTATTTCATTAAAAAAAACAAAATTTAAAGAATTAACCTAATAAAGAACTAATTAACCCTGTAACCGGATATGAGCCATCAATAAAAATCCTACAGCTTATGTTTCAACCTAATCCAATCCAAAATAAGCGGAGTATAATAAGTAATTATCACATCGGCCCCTAAAATGTTTTATACAATATAATTTTTGCTACAATAGCTTAAACTACTCTTACCTGCTCGTCTATAAGACCCTAAAATTTCCATCAAACCATCCTTGAGATTGAAAATCCCAGACTGAGCAGCATTGAAAATCATCGAGTACTCGCCAGAAACTTGATATACAAACATGGGATATTCTGGATACTTGTCCTTTACTTGTTTGAGGATATCAATGTAGGCCATTATTGGTTTTACCATTAAAAAATCAGCACCTGATGATAAAAGTTATAAGTAATAATTACTTACAATAAAACCTGTATTACCTTCTTCCACATCTCTTTGAGCAGCCCTTAGAGCAATCCCTTGACTACCAGGAGGCAACTGATAACATTTCCTATCGCCAAACGAAGGTTTAGATTTGGCAGCATCCCTAAAAGGCCCATAAAAATTCGAAGCAAATTTACATGTATACGACAACACTGAAACAGTGTTTCGCAAATCGTGCTCATTAAGAAGCCTTTTAATAGCCCCTATTCTACCATCCATCATGTCTGAAGGCGCCACAATATGTGCTCCTACTTTGGCGTAGGCCAAAGCAATTTCTGCTATTCTTTTAATGCTTTCAGCGTTGTCTAAGCCTTTATCGGTCAAAATGCCACAGTGTCCGTGCGAGCTGTAGGGGCACAGGCACACGTCACAAGCAATGACGAGTTCAGGAAACCATTCGCGAAGATATGGGAGGGCGCGGATTACTGGGTTGTTGGGGCTATCTGCATTTGTAGCATTGTCATCCTGAAAGAAATTGGAGTATACTCTAAAATGCTTGAGAATTTATTTTTGGAGAACCATTCTCTGAGCACGAACTAGAATAATAAGCATGAAAGAAAAAAAGTAATGAGCCTTTTTTCATAGATTCTGGTTCCAAATCTCAGAATTATTTAGTGTATGGAGTTTGGGGGATTCCAACGGACCATTAAGACACAAAATCTCAACAAAAAAAATATTTAAATTTCACCTTATGATTTAGATTTTGAAAAACTTTGAAAGGTCATAACTTTTTTTCCATTAGAGATAGAAAGCTGAAATTTTCAACGATTCTTATTCCAGTGGCGGGCTACAATGGCTGCAAATTTCAACTTATTTGGGCTTATAGTTCCTGAGATAAAATCGTGTTAAGCAGTTTGGAGTAATTTATCAATTTTTCAATTTTTGTGAGTGCCTGTTTTCATAGATTTCGGCTACAAATATGAGAATAATTTAGTTTATGGAGTTCAGGGGATCACGAGGGACCATTAGGACACAAAATTTCAACAAATTTTTGTTTGAAATTTCATCGTTTTAGTAAGAAGGTACCTACCTTATGATTTAGATTTTGGAAAACTTTGGAAGGTCATAACTTTTTTTCTATTAGAGATAGAAAGCTGAAATTTTCAGCGATTCTTATCCCAGTGGCGGGCTACAATGGCTGCAAATTTCAACTCATTTGGACTTATAATTCCTGAGATAAAATCGTGTTAAGCAGTTTGGGGTAATTTATCAATTTTTCAATTTTTGTGAGTGCCTGTTTTCATAGATTTCGGCTACAAATCTGAGAATAATTTAGTTTATGGAGTTCAGGGGATCACGAGGGACCATTAGGACACAAAATTTCAACAAAATTTTTTTTGAAATTTCATCGTTTTAGTAAGAAGGTACCTACCTTATGATTTAGATTTTGGAAAACTTTGGAAGGTCATAACTTTTTTTTTATTAGAGATAGAAAGCTGAAATTTTCAGCGATTCTTATCCCAGTGGCGGGCTACAATGGCTGCAAATTTCAACTCATTTGGACTTATAATTCCTGAGATAAAATCGTGCTAAGCAGTTGTGGTGATTTATAAATTTTTCAATTTTTCAATTTTTCTGAGTGCCTTTTTTTAGGAAGGTACCCCCCTTATGATTTTTTTGGAAAATTTTGAAAAGTCATAACTTTTTTTCTATTATAGATAGAAAGCTGAATCCTTCACTGAAAATTATCCTTTTCAAAGGACTACAATCCCTGAAAATTTCAGCTCATTGACACTTATAGTTCCTGAGATAAAATCGTGCTAAGCAGTTGTGGTGATTTATCAATTTTTCAATTTTTCTGAGTGCCTTTTTTCATAGATTTTGGGTTCAAATCTGAGAATAATTTAGTTTATGGAGTTCAGGGTATCACGAGGAACCATTAGGACACAAAATCTCGACAAAAAAAAAATTGAAATTTCATCGTTATAGTAGGAAGGTACCCCCCTTATGATTTATTTGGAAAATTTTGAAAAGTCATAACTTTTTTTCTATTATAGATAGAAAGCTGAATCTTTCACTGAAAATTATCCTTTTCAAAGGACTACAATCCCTGAAAATTTCAGCTCATTGACACTTATAGTTCCTGAGATAAAATCGTGCTAAGCAGTTGTGGTGATTTATAAATTTTTCAATTTTTCTGAGTGCCTTTTTTCATAGATTTTGGCTTCAAATCTGAGAATAATTTAGTATATGGAGGTCAGGGTATCACGAGGGACCATTAGGACACAAAATCTCGACAAAAAAAAATTTGAAATTTCATCGTTTTAGTAGGAAGGTATCCCCCTTATGATTTTTTTGGAAAATTTTGAAAAGTCATAACTTTTTTTCTATTATAGATAGAAAGCTGAATCCTTCACTGGAAATTATCCTTTTCAAAGGACTACAATCCCTGAAAATTTCAGCTCATTGACACTTATAGTTCCTGAGATAAAATCGTGCTAAGCAGTTGTGGTGATTTATAAATTTTTCAATTTTTCTGAGTGCCTTTTTTCATAGATTTTGGCTTCAAATCTGAGAATAATTTAGTTTATGGAGTTCAGGGTATCACGAGGAACCATTAGGACACAAAATCTCGACAAAAAAAAAATTGAAATTTCATCGTTTTAGTAGGAAGGTACCCCCCTTATGATTTTTTTGGAAAATTTTGAAAAGTCATAACTTTTTTTCTATTATAGATAGAAAGCTGAATCTTTCACTGAAAATTATCCTTTTCAAAGGACTACAATCCCTGAAAATTTCAGCTCATTGACACTTATAGTTCCTGAGATAAAATCGTGCTAAGCAGTTGTGGTGATTTATCAATTTTTCAATTTTTCTGAGTGCCTTTTTTCATAGATTTTGGCTTCAAATCTGAGAATAATTTAGTTTATGGAGTTCAGGGTATCACGAGGAACCATTAGGACACAAAATCTCGACAAAAAAAAAATTGAAATTTCATCGTTTTAGTAGGAAGGTACCCCCCTTATGATTTTTTTGGAAAATTTTGAAAAGTCATAACTTTTTTTCTATTATAGATAGAAAGCTGAATCTTTCACTGAAAATTATCCTTTTCAAAGGACTACAATCCCTGAAAATTTCAGCTCATTGACACTTATAGTTCCTGAGATAAAATCGTGCTAAGCAGTTGTGGTGATTTATCAATTTTTCAATTTTTCTGAGTGCCTTTTTTCATAGATTTTGGCTTCAAATCTGAGAATAATTTAGTTTATGGAGTTCAGGGTATCACGAGGAACCATTAGGACACAAAATCTCGACAAAAAAAAAATTGAAATTTCATCGTTTTAGTAGGAAGGTACCCCCCTTATGATTTTTTTGGAAAATTTTGAAAAGTCATAACTTTTTTTCTATTATAGATAGAAAGCTGAATCCTTCACTGAAAATTATCCTTTTCAAAGGACTACAATCCCTGAAAATTTCAGCTCATTGACACTTATAGTTCCTGAGATAAAATCGTGCTAAGCAGTTGTGGTGATTTATCAATTTTTCAATTTTTCTGAGTGCCTTTTTTCATAGATTTTGGCTTCAAATCTGAGAATAATTTAGTTTATGGAGTTCAGGGTATCACGAGGAACCATTAGGACACAAAATCTCGACAAAAAAAAAATTGAAATTTCATCGTTTTAGTAGGAAGGTACCCCCCTTATGATTTTTTTGGAAAATTTTGAAAAGTCATAACTTTTTTTCTATTATAGATAGAAAGCTGAATCTTTCACTGAAAATTATCCTTTTCAAAGGACTACAATCCCTGAAAATTTCAGCTCATTGACACTTATAGTTCCTGAGATAAAATCGTGCTAAGCAGTTGTGGTGATTTATCAATTTTTCAATTTTTCTGAGTGCCTTTTTTCATAGATTTTGGCTTCAAATCTGAGAATAATTTAGTTTATGGAGTTCAGGGTATCACGAGGAACCATTAGGACACAAAATCTCGACAAAAAAAAAATTGAAATTTCATCGTTTTAGTAGGAAGGTACCCCCCTTATGATTTTTTTGGAAAATTTTGAAAAGTCATAACTTTTTTTCTATTATAGATAGAAAGCTGAATCTTTCACTGAAAATTATCCTTTTCAAAGGACTACAATCCCTGAAAATTTCAGCTCATTGACACTTATAGTTCCTGAGATAAAATCGTGCTAAGCAGTTGTGGTGATTTATAAATTTTTCAATTTTTCTGAGTGCCTTTTTTCATAGATTTTGGCTTCAAATCTGAGAATAATTTAGTATATGGAGGTCAGGGTATCACGAGGGACCATTAGGACACAAAATCTCGACAAAAAAAAATTTGAAATTTCATCGTTTTAGTAGGAAGGTACCCCCCTTATGATTTTTTTGGAAAATTTTGAAAAGTCATAACTTTTTTTCTATTATAGATAGAAAGCTGAATCCTTCACTGAAAATTATCCTTTTCAAAGGACTACAATCCCTGAAAATTTCAGCTCATTGACACTTATAGTTCCTGAGATAAAATCGTGCTAAGCAGTTGTGGTGATTTATCAATTTTTCAATTTTTCTGAGTGCCTTTTTTCATAGATTTTGGGTTCAAATCTGAGAATAATTTAGTTTATGGAGTTCAGGGTATCACGAGGAACCATTAGGACACAAAATCTCGACAAAAAAAAAATTGAAATTTCATCGTTATAGTAGGAAGGTACCCCCCTTATGATTTATTTGGAAAATTTTGAAAAGTCATAACTTTTTTTCTATTATAGATAGAAAGCTGAATCTTTCACTGAAAATTATCCTTTTCAAAGGACTACAATCCCTGAAAATTTCAGCTCATTGACACTTATAGTTCCTGAGATAAAATCGTGCTAAGCAGTTGTGGTGATTTATAAATTTTTCAATTTTTCTGAGTGCCTTTTTTCATAGATTTTGGCTTCAAATCTGAGAATAATTTAGTATATGGAGGTCAGGGTATCACGAGGGACCATTAGGACACAAAATCTCGACAAAAAAAAATTTGAAATTTCATCGTTTTAGTAGGAAGGTACCCCCCTTATGATTTATTTGGAAAATTTTGAAAAGTCATAACTTTTTTTCTATTATAGATAGAAAGCTGAATCTTTCACTGAAAATTATCCTTTTCAAAGGACTACAATCCCTGAAAATTTCAGCTCATTGACACTTATAGTTCCTGAGATAAAATCGTGCTAAGCAGTTGTGGTGATTTATCAATTTTTCAATTTTTCTGAGTGCCTTTTTTCATAGATTTTGGCTTCAAATCTGAGAATAATTTAGTTTATGGAGTTCAGGGTATCACGAGGAACCATTAGGACACAAAATCTCGACAAAAAAAAAATTGAAATTTCATCGTTTTAGTAGGAAGGTACCCCCCTTATGATTTATTTGGAAAATTTTGAAAAGTCATAACTTTTTTTCTATTATAGATAGAAAGCTGAATCTTTCACTGAAAATTATCCTTTTCAAAGGACTACAATCCCTGAAAATTTCAGCTCATTGACACT